CGGGGGCTCGAAGCTCCGGCGGCGTGGGCCCCCGAAGGGGCCGAGGCCGCGCGAGCTCCGGCCCGCGGGCTCCGCGCCTCGGCTGCGCCCGGCTGCTGCGAAGCCGGGACGGGGACCCCATTGGAGGGATACCTCGGGGTTCTCTCTGAGATCCGGCGGTCCTGGAGGACGACGAGGGTGGACGACGACGACGACGACGACGTCGACGACGCTGAGGACGAGGACGAGGACGACGAGGACGACAAGGACGACGACGAGGATGACGACAAGGAGGACGTATCGGGCGCCGCGGCACGCTCTCAGAGCGTTCTCGAATGCCATGGAACGACTTCGGCCCTGTCCTAACCCCGCCCGACTGGACGCGCGGGTGCGCAGCGCACCTGCAATCCTCCGCGCGCGCGGGGTTGCAACAGGGAGGGGGGGGGCCGGCTCCAGGGAGGGACGCAGCGAGCCTGAATCGGCGATACATCACATTCGGCTGTTCAAAGATTGGAGAGAGCGTGATCCACCGCCGCTTTACTGTGGAAAATTGCCAACCTTCTCCTCCTCCCGGAACCCCTCGAAAACCGGGGGGGTTCGAACCCTCCTCCCCCCCCCCCCCCCCCCCCCCCCCCCTCGAAAACCGGAGGGGGGTCACTACCGGTTCGACCCCCCCCCCACCCCCACGCACCGCCAGCAAACGACTCCCGGTCCCTACCACCGCTCGCATCACATCCCCCACTGTTGTTCCCAGCACCACTGTCCTCACCACCACTGTCCCCACTGGTTCCACCACCGTCCCTATTGTCCCCACCAGTGCCCCCACCACTGTCGCACTGTCCCCACTGTTCCCACCACTGTTCCCACCACGGTTCCACTCTCCCCACTGTCTCCACGGACCCAACCACTGCCTATCCCCACTGTCCCCACTGTCCCACTGACTCCTCCGCTGTCCCACTGAGCTGTCCCACTGTTCCCACCACTGTCCCCACTGTCCCCACCACTGTCCCCACTGCACCTCTGTCCCATTGTCCCACCGCCGTCCTCGCCACCGCCTTTACCAGTGTCCCCACCACCATTGTACCCTCCACTGTCCCAGTGTTTCCACCTCATTCCCACTGTCCCCACACCACTGTCCCCACCACCACCGTTCCCACCACTGTCCACTGTCCCCCCTGTTCCCACCATTGTCCCCACCACTGTCCCCACCACTACCGTCCCCACCACTGTCCCACTGTCCCCCCACTGTCCCCACCACTGTCCCGCTGTCCCCTCACCACTGTCCCCACCAACACCGTCCCCACCACTGTCCGCACCCCCACTCGGTTTTCGAGGGGGGGGGGGGGGGTTCGAACCGGTAGTGACCCCCCCCCCTTTTCATGATGACTGGGGGGGGGGGGGGGGGGGGGGTTCGAACCGGTAGTGACCCCCCCCGGTTTTCCGGAGGGGGGGGGGGGGGGGGGGAGGGGGGGGGGAGGGGTTCGAACCGGTAGTGACCCCCCCGGTTTTCCGCCAGCAGCGGTAGAACACGCTCTTTCAAAGATTGGGGTCCTGAGGGATGGGGCCCTAAGGACGAGGTGCCTCAAACAGTGTCAATCCGTCCTCGAATCCCTTCCCATCCTCAGGACCCAATCCCTCAGGACCCCACCCTGGAACCACCGACGCATTGCGGCCGCGACACGCTGCATCACCGCTGCGCTCTCCCAGGCTGCTCCAACACGGTCCTGCCGAGCCTGCTCGGGAGAGCTCGGTGCCACCATCCCGCGTGGATTTCGGTGCTGTGGCCGGCGCGGTGGACGGGTCTGTCTCAGGCAGCTGGGCAGGAGGGGGCGGAGGAAGAACGAGAGGAAGAGGACCAGGTGCAGAGATGGCGAAGAGGGGGGGAGGGGGGGATGAGCAGGAGAAAGACGAAGAGATGCTGGAGGAGACGAAGAGGAATGATGGGCTCCTTTTCGACCGTCCGCTGCTGTAGCAGTCGAACGCCTGCGGTGGCGTCGGTCGAGGCGGTGTGAAACTGGCGCATGCGAAGTATTACAGGAATGAACATCGGCGTAAAAATCAAATTTCAAAGGCCCGCGCAAACTTATCTGATCGGCGTTAACCCCCCCACACCTCCCTGGCGCGCGGAGCGCGCCGGTGGCGGCTCTAGAGGCGCCGCCAGAGAGGACCCAGCGCTGACACAAAAGATCCGCACAGATCTCACGAAAGTCAATGTTTACGCTGATGTTCTTCTTCGAGTACGCGCCGCATGCAGCACCTAGGGCTGACGTGAAACAGACGGGTCCCGAGGGCAACGGGTCACCTGCCGGCTGAGTTAAACGACAGACAGTGCAACTGCACAGCGCATCCAGGCCTGTACGCCCTTGCCTAGCAACGGCCGCCTCCACTCTCAAATCACGAAGGTGTGCATGAAGGGCCCAGCGGATGTCATTTCCATCACCTGCCTGGCGCTCACTGCCGATCGAGCAAGCGCTGCGGCACCGGGACCATACGTCGGCATCGTAAAACCCATGGTGTCACTCGCACTGGGCGAGCAATCGAGAGTCAGAGCGAGGAAAGCGATCCAACGACCACTTGTGAAATTGCAGAGAAGCTGGACAAAGTGAGGTTGGAACATCCATAAAAGTGGAAGTGACCAAGGCTGGAAAACTGGCAACGGCTGAAAAGAATCCAAAACAATTGGGACGAAATCGCGAGAACTACAACAACTACACGGAAACTGGCCAGGCCTCGAAAGAAAGGAAGGGCTGGCTCCAGCCACTTGTCCAGCTCCCTTGTGCCGGGGTGGACTGGTCCACTCCCGTTACCCTCCTCAACTGGGACCTGGCTTACGGACTTGAGGCGGCGCCGAAGTGACAAAACCGCACCAGCGCATCAGGGCTTACAATGGGTGCTTTAGCGAGCCCGTCTTTCCAACCTCTTTCTCCCCGTTTTGGGCAGGGGTTCACCCCTCCCCTGCCCCCTCCTCTAGGTCTGGAGGGGAGGGCGCGGGTCGTCTAAGCTTCCAAGGCGGCCCCACAAGGGCCCACGATAGCACAAGATGGCCTCCAAGATGGCACAATGATGGCAAATGTTGCTCAACATAGCCGCCAACATGCCTGCAAGATGGTTCGGGTCGCCTTGGAGCCGCCCCAGGACGCCCCCGAAAATTCAAAGTCACTCAAAAGCGAAATAGACATCAAGGTGTTTACCTTCTCGCCGTTTCGCGTTCGATGGGCTTGTGGGGCGTGGGGCCCTTGGATGGCTCCAAGGTGGCTCAAGAGACCCCCAAGAGGCCCGAGAAGGCTCCAAGACGACCCCAAGAGCGCCCAATTGCACCAACAAGCACTCTACGAGAGGCCAAAAGGCGATCGCTCTGACTCCGACGAGGGGAATGACATTGCGAACCTCTTTCCGTGATCGACGGAATCCAAGATAGCCCCAAGAGAGCGTGCAAGGCCCCCAAGAGGGCCCCAAGAGAGCCCCAAAGGCTTCCAACCAACATGAGTCGAAAAGGCCCCACGGTGACCCAAGTAACCTGCCAAGCTGCTCTCGTACATCGAAAGGCCCGCGAAAGTATTCAGGGCTGGCCCCCGTGTCTACCCATGCTGATCCCGACATTCTTCTTGACTGCTGCCCACTTTGTTCCTTTGTTCGCTCTTGCGCTTCCCTGAGCAAGGAAAGTCGCATGGGCATCGTTTCTGGATGGACGGATGAAGATACGAGAAGCGACAATGATTGCGCGCTGGCAATACACTACCCGCTATAAAGCCGCAAAGCGTGGCAGGCGTGGCGTCACAGCGGGTACGCTGAGGGTGGGGACGCTGTGGGCTATAGGCACCATTGGCGTGGCACTTTCTCGGCACCACAGGGGGGCGCAGGGGATCGGAACGCTATCCGCGCCAGGCTCCAAAGGCGGAAACGCTGCACTTTCTCGACGCCGCACGGGGTGCGCAAGGCGTGGAGTCGCTATCCGCGTCAGGCTCAAAAGGCGTGGCGAGCGTGACACTTCCTCGACACCGCAAAAGGTGCGCAAAGGTGGGTCGCTATCCGTGTCAAATTCCCAGGGCGTTGTCGGAATGGCTTTTCTCAACACCGCAAGGGGTGCGCAAGGAGCGGGCTCGCTACCGTGTCAGGTTCCCAGGGCGTGGCAGGCGTGGCATTTTCTCGACACCACTTGGGGTGCGCAAAGTGTGGGATCGCTATACGCGGCAAGCTCTCGCCCCGCAGCGGTCTCCAGCTGTTCTTGCGCCCGTGCAGGCAGGCCTTCACCCTGCAGCGGTCCCCATCTGTTCAGCTGGCTACCTTTGTTCGTTCCACCAGCGCCCCTCGCATGAAATTCAGCTGTCCTTGACCCCCCGGAGACGGACCTCCGTTGGTCACGAGGACCGTGGTCACAGGACCTGCGAGAGGTCGCCAGGTCTCCACAACGTCGCGGGGCGCAGTCGGTGAGGCTTTTGCCGCAAGGCTTACGGGCGAATGCTTGTGACGACATTCCGTCCCCCCCCCACTGTTTGCCACTCCAACCGGGTCTTCACCTCTCCCGACGTCAGGCGGGGTTCGCGTCGGATCGCCCCCCGATCCCATCCGCAACGCATTGGTTACGTCATCATAGTAGACATAATCGAAGTGGGTATCTACGGTAGCGCAACTAGTTTTCACGCTGGGCGCATGCAAAAGGCTAGCTGCGGGCTCAGAATTACCCAAGTGCGTACCAGAGGCCTCCCAGATGGGGTCCGAGTAGATGGGGTCCAAGGATCGTGCCGCATCGCCCATGCGTCACCGATGCATCGACTATGCGTCAGCGATGCACTGGCGACATCGGCGGTGCATCGGCGACGCCGACGTGGAGAAGCTCGGGCTCCACATCGAGCCGCATCGGAGATGCGGCGCGTTCCTCCGACCCCCTCTACTCGGACCCTATCTAGGAAGCCTGGACGTGCGCAACCAACCCCAAGACCATCGGCAGGACAGGGCGGCGGCTCGGCGCAGGACGCCGCTCCGGTGGACCCCCCCACCCGCCCCTGGCGGCGCAGGACAGACGGCAGACGTGAAGGCTTGGCATCAACGGCGGGGGGAGGGCAATCGCTCCGGTCTACGCAAGACGCCATTCCGCTCGACCCCCTGGGGGCGCAAGGGAGCAAGGGTCTGCGTGGGACGCCGTCCTGCTGAAGCCCCCCTCCGCCTGGAGGTGCTGGACAGTCGGCAGAGCTTTGCATCCGGGGACGCTGCTCTGCTGGACCCCCCTGGAGAACAGGAAAGTTGGCAGTGTTGTGCATTCAGCGACACACAGGGGGGCGAGGGCGCCGCTTTGCTGAACCCCCACAAGGGGCTTGTTTTGGTATGCGTAGGGCGCCGCTCCGCTGGACATCACAGCGGTGCGTGAAATTTGGCAGAGCTGTGCACCCGGCAGCGCCCTGAAGGACGAGAGTGCTGATTTGGCTTTGTGTAGGACGCCGCCCTGCTGGACCCCCCCTAGGGAGGCAAGAAAATTGGCAAAGGAATGCGTTTGGCTGCACCCAGCGGGACGACGATACCGACTTGGGTATGCTGGGGCCCCTGCTGGGGCCGCAAACCCACCTTGTGCCCGCTCTCGCATCTGCGGTCGCCTGCCGTGGTCGAAAGTTCCACTCCCGAGCGCACAAAGAAGCCACGAGCGCGGGGCAGAAGGAACACACAGGTCACCTAACTTCGCGCCTTCGCGCGCCGCGATGCACGATCATCTTCGCGCCTTCGCGCCTTCGCGTCGCCCCCCCTGGAGAAGGGCAGCAGCTCTGGCCCAGACCGCGGTGCGCGAGGCGCGATTCTTTTCGCGCCCCCGTGGGCGACCTAGGTGCCTGGGGCAGGAGGAGCACGCATGACGCTTTTCCGAGCGCGCCAAGTGAAGGCGAGGGTGGTATCGAGCATGGGGGGTCTGGCGGGCCGCCGCGATGCAGGACGAAACGTGCCGAACCGCGGGGGGATAGCTAGCAGCAGAATCAAGTAGCGCGGGTACGAGGAGCGCCAAGCTATGGTGCCCGATACAGACCCAGGCAGGGAGGTTCCCCATACACGCAGCCTGCACGTTATTGCAGTTGTACCCAAAGTGATCCCATTGGTGTGGCTTGACGTGCGTTCCTATCTAGAAGAATCGACCGAGCCAGGGCAACACACACACAAAGACTCGGAGGGCACACTCGTCGCATCCAGTGGACAGGCTCCAGCGTCAGGGCCTGGATCAGTCACGACATACTCCCTGCTTGGACCCGCGTGCGAAAAGCTGCCCCGGCGAGCAGCAAAGAAAAACATATCATCCCGGGGCTCCCCCATTCCCCCCCGTCTGCCGCACCCTTGGACTTCGAAAAACACACCCCTTCCATCGCATTTTCCTTGTTTTGCCTTCCACCTGAACCGCCGCCTCCTCCTCCTCCTCCTCATCATCCTCCTCTTCCTCCCCCTCCTCCTCCTCCTCATTCTCCTCCTCATCATCACCATCATCATCATCGTCACCATCAACACAATCGGCATCAACACCATCCGCACCATCATCATCCATCATCATCATCATCATCATCATCATCATCATCATCATCATCAGCAGCAGCAGCAGCAGCATCATCAGCAGCAGCAGCGGCAACATCATCGTCACCACCAAAATGAACGTTATGATCGTCAATGCGCCTGACTCTGCTGTCTGGGGAAGCCAGGATCATGATGATCAGGATCGGCATAAGCATCAGCCACAGCATCTCCATCAGCACCACAATTGCCGCCACCACAACAACCACTATCGTCACACTCACCACCCGTATCAACAACACCATCACCGTCGTCTTCACCGTCTCCGCCATTACCAGCATAACGGTCAGCGCCATCGTCATCATGAATCATCGTCGTCATCTGCATCATCAGCAGCATCATCAACTTCATCATCATAGCCATCATCACCAACATCATGAATCATCATCAGCATCAGCATCAGCATCATCAGCATCAGCATCATCAGCATCGGCATCGTCATCATCATCATCAGCAGCATCAGCAACAGCATCTTCGTCAGCATCAGCATCACCATCATCAGTATCATCATCATCGTCATCATCATCAACCTTATCAGTATCATCATCACCACCACCATCATCAGCATCTTCAGCAGCATTATCATCAACTTCATCATCATAGTCATCATCACAACCACCATGAATCATCATCAGCATCATCATCATCATCAGCATCATCATCATCAGCATCATCATCAGTATTATCATCAGCGTCAGCATCATCATGAGCATCATCAGCATCAGCAGCATCAGCATCATCATCGTCATCATCGTCAGCATCATCATCATCAACATGTTCATGACCACCACCACCACCATCATCATCAGCATCATCAGCATCATCAGTATAATCAGCATCATCAGCATCATCAGCAGCATCAGCAGCATCATCAGCATCAGCATCATCACCATCATCACCATCATCATCATCATGATCATCATCATCATCATCAGCAGCATCATCATCATCATCATTTTCATCTGCCAGATAATACAACATCTGCCTAAACTGTTGGACAATCGCGGAAATTGTTGAATCTGCGATGAACACCCCTCCCTGGCGCGCTCAGCGCCCCAATGGCGGCGCTTGAGGCGCCGCCAGAGATGCCCAACGCCGATTCAAGAAATCCGCCTAGGCCTCTGACAACATGTTTATGTAATGTAGATGCCGTTATGTTTCTTCTTCAGTCACCACCCTAATCACCGTCGTCGCCAGCGCTTCTCACAAACACTGGCAGCATCATCGCCACTACAACCACCACCATCCTGCCTCCTGGCACGTAGCCTCGGAAACGAGATCACGATCTCAGCCTGGGCAGTAAAACGGCCGGCACACCTGGAACCTGGCTGGTCGAAATCCCACCAGCCCTCTGGGCGTAGGTGGTCTAGGGCGGCTCCACTTCCAACCCCCTTCTTCCCATTTGGGGAGGGGTTCACCACTGTTCTTTATTAATATACACCCCCTCCCCCAGGCGACCGGGGGCCAACCAGGTACCACGCCGACACCATGACCACCCGCCCCCCACCATCCCTGTCAAAAAAACTATACAAACCGCACTCTGCCTCCACATTTGAACCATGCGCGGCCAACCCGATGCGGCCCCCCCAACCATCCCTGTCAAAAATCAATGCAAAGTACACTTTGGGGCAAAGTCTTGAGTCATGTTCGTGAGGCTCGCGAGCACTTTGTATTGTTTTGACAAAGACGGCGGGGGTGTCAGCATATTCCCTGGTGTGCGCAGGGCTACCACCCCTGACATCAAAAATACAACATGCACCTCGCGGCCGAATCTGGATCATGCGCGGCCATCCCGCGATCACTGTCAAGTGGATTTTGACAGGGACGGCGGGAGTGGTGGCGCGTGGCCTGCTGTGCGCAGGCCCAGCAGACACATTGATGGGCATCGGTTTTCGACAAGGATGGCGGGGGGCGACATGTTTCCCGATGTGTGCTGTCACGTGGGCAGACGCACCTGACGCACTCTGCACGTGCCCCGACCGCGGCGCACCTGGCGCGGCTGGGGTGTGCGGCCCACCTGGCGCACTCGCAGCGCGTAGCGCATTTGGCGCACCAAGCGTGCCTGGCACGCTCGGGCCCCAGGCGTGCCTGGCACGCGTGTCGCACCTCGCCCAAACGTCGCTCACCTGGGGTCGGCTTTGGTTCCCTGAGGCTGTCCATCCAAAGACGAACGCTGAACATGCTCAGGCTCGAGTGTCACTTATGTGTAAGGAGGGCGGGTGGGAGTGAGCTAGACGGCTTGCGGGCGGGTGGGTAGCTTGACCCCTCCCCCTACCCCCTCCCCTGGACCTGGACGGGGCCGGTCGCGGGTAGGTAGAGCGCCCAAAAGGGCCTCGGCGAGGAAGCACAAATCATTGGTTTTCCTATGGTTTTGGCCCCATTTTGGCCTTTGGGGGGAGCAACGCTAAAATTAGCTCCCCGCCTCTTTGATCGATCTCCTCCAAGATGGCCCCAAGAGGCGCCCAGGAGGCCCCAAGAGGTCCCAAGATAACCCCAAGATGACCCCAAGAGGCCCCAAAGAGGCCCCCAGGAGGCCCCCAAGAGGACCACAGGCGGCCCCAAGAGGCCCCCCCGAGGCACCCAAGACGCCCAAGAGCCCCTCAGGACTGCCAAGAGACCCCCAAGACGTCTCAAGAGGCCGCCAACAAGTGCCCAAGAGATACCCCAAGAGGCTCCAAGAGGTATCCAAAAGACCTCTGGCCCTTTTGCTTGCCCTCCTCCTCCTGCTCCTCCTTCCTCCTGCTACTCCTGTTCCTCCTCCTCCTCCTCCTCCTCCTCCTCCTCCTCCTCCTCCTCCTCCTCATCATCATCATCATCATCATCATCATCATCATCATCATCATCATCATCATCATCATCATCCTGCTTCTCCCCACTCCTTCAACCATCCAGCCTTCTCCTTCTCCTCTTCCCTCCTTCGCACGGTTCGGCCGTCCCCCTCTTTGCTCCCGAACTTCCCTGAACACCTCAACTCGCCTGGACATCGTTTCTGGATGGGCTGGTGGGGATACGCGAAGCTTCTGGAATGATCATCCTGCTTCATCCTGGACATCCCAGAACCACTGCGCCGCCTGCCGGTGAAGCTGCTGGCGACGATCCGCGGCGGCTTTCCGAACGGCCCACGCACCAACTCCTGGCAACGGCGGAAGGAGGGAAACGGGTATGCCCCTAAACCCCCGACATCCTCGCTTCGCAACGAAGAAAAACAGGACTTGAGGTTTTCGGCCTTTTTTCGGCCTGTGGAAGCCCTTACCAGGCACTGGGACAATCAAAACGCGACTCAAAATGAAAAACTTGTCCTGGTGAAGGGGTCCCTACTTATAGGGAGCCACGTTGCCACAAACAAGAACACTACTTCGGATGTATTGGAGCTCCAACGCCATGGAAATTCGCCGGCCCAACGGGCCAGAGGAGTGCTAACATCTCCGAGAGAGCGTGCTCCACCGCCGCTCTAATGTGACTAAATCCCCCCCCCCCCTTCTTCCAGAACCCGGGACCCCTCCCTTCCGAAAATCCCCCGCCCCCCCCCTGCTCGACCCCCCCCCCCTCCCCCCCCC